GTAATGTAATGTAATGAAATGTTTTATAGGTAACAACAATGCCGAGTAAACAGATGACGTTTCCTAGGTAACAAAAATGCCGAGTAAATAGATGTTTCTTAGGTAACCATTATTGTCGATTTGTTGATAAACAGATGAAGTTTATTAGGTAACCATCTTACACATTTTCGTCACACTTTTTCGTCACACTTTTTTGCGGAATGACACTGACCCTAAAATATAGACGTATTTACGTCAAAAAGAAACACGAGAATGTATTAGATGCCCATGAATAAATGCAACCTCGTCAGCAGCACAGCTGTTTCTGTGATGATCGTGTTTTTGTTTTTACCTAAAGGGTGGACGCAGAGCGGATGTGAGAATTCAGAGTAATTTAACCCAATCTTCAGAATTATCTGATTTTGTTCTCACTTTCGGCCTATTTTCATACGTCACGTTTTGTTAGCACTTTACAAAATAATATTAGGATTATAAAAACAAAAATATTGCCATGGGTTGGACATGGAGCGCAGTGTTCCCGTCTTCATGGCATTTGTTGTCATTATACATGTGTGTTTATTAATCGATGTTAATGAGATACTCCTTTTGATGCAAATCCGAAAAAAAATTAGTGATGCATTTGTCACTAATTTATGATATAGCACGATCTGTATTCTATATATTTCGGGAAATCGTGCTCAGAATAAATGGGTTGAATTGGAGATCTTCAGATAGGAAACCGTATGATGACGCTAGCTGGATCATCTTCCAAAGGCGTCTCGTTAGTGGATGTCATGATTCATAGCTCTCGTGCTCGCTGCCACAGAGGGTATGGTAGCCGCCGATAACGAGGGGATTTCGTACCCAGACGAAGTGAAAATATATTACGGCGAGCAGTTATTTTCAACTGAACGGTATGGTAATAGAGCCAGCTTCGCATTTCTCTTGCTTTCAGAAGAAGAAAAAAAATCACCAAAATTCTGACCTGCAGGATTAGGGGCCTTTTCAGCGGAAAATATCAGAACCTAGTTGCTGTATATTTTTCACAATAAGAAGTGACAAGAAAATACAAATGTGTTTAAGCAACCAATTAAAAGTACCATGGTCATTGAGAACCTGGTAGTCGCTTAGGCAATTAAGAAATCCCCAGACTGTTATGGAGCCCAACTCACTACTCACTGTTCTGAAGAGAGAATAGTTATTCAATTCACATTCATATATCATTAGTTTTATTGGCTTATAACAACTATTCCTATACTTGTTTATGAAAAATTATTTTTTACTTTACTATTTTGATGTGTCATCTGAAAATCATATTATTATTATTATAAGGCTGTATAAGGGGATTATGTTTTTAAACCTCTGACACATAAACATTGAATATTGCTTACGTCATGAATATTTTGAGTAATAAATCACTCTTATCATAAGACTGGGCATTCATTTTCCGCGAAAAGAAAGAGATAAAAGTGCCTCACCCCCCTAAAAAATTCTGAGCAAACGATAGAGGAAAAAGGAGCTTCCTAAAAGCGTGGGCATTTTTTTGTTGTTCATGAGTTGCAACGAGGCTGCAAGGGTAAAATATACAGCCTATAACATTCAAGTCACGTGTAGCAGCGGCATCATGAAAATTGCGTTTCGACTCTCGTATTTTGAGTGTGCTGTAGTGTAGTGCTGAAATTCTGAAAGTAAGAGACCATTGGGGATACATAGGCGTAGATAGGAAGATAACATTGAAGTTAATGTAAAACAATTGGGATTAATGATGGACTGGCGTTAACTGTCTCGGTATAGGGTCCAGAGGCGGCTGTAGTAAACAAGACAGTGAATCTTCGGGTCTGAAAAGATGCTGAGAATTTGTTGACCGGCGGTCAGCTTTCCAAGTAGGCATTTGCTCTGTGGAGTTAATTTGAACAGCTGATGACTTGTGTTTGCAGGCGGCACGATGTATGGGTTGCTACTGGAAAACATGGCGGAGTACATCAAGCAGGTGTATGGCGAGGACAAGTGGGAGGAAATCCGACGCCAGGCAGCCGTCGAACAGCCCAGTTTTAGCGTACACCAGGTGTACCCAGAGAACCTCATACCACGGCTAGCTAAGAAGGCCATCCAGGTCAGTTGACAATCTTCGGTAGTTCAACAGGTTGACATAAAAATGATGTATCTCATGCATTTACCTGTCAGTGATTTGGAAGTCTGCGAAGAGACGACAGTAACTGTAGTTTGGAGCCACAGCGAATATAGGTGCTGCTGTGGACTGAACCAATCGCCTTGAAGTTGAACGTAGACATGTTAAGAAAAACGAAATGTATTCCAAGTCTTGGTCTGAAGGATAAAGGACATTTGGAAGACGTAAGCGTAGATGGGCGGGTAGTATGAAAATAAGCCATAATAGAAGAGAGCGTGGCTCAGTTGCTGGTTTTTGTGAACACGATAACGAACCTTTGGGTTTCGTAAAGATGGAGATTTTGTTGATCATATTGGCGATGTCAGCGTATGAGAAAGGATTCTGCTTCTTGGAGTCTTCCGCATCAGAGTTTAATTGTTCCGACTTTCAGTCATTCCATGCGATTTTCATCATGTTTCTGTCATTTCGTTTATAACCTTCCGAATGAGAACATTTAGTTTGTCAGAAAGACCCGTATTCACGCATTTCATTTACATAATAAGGATAAGAATAGGGAGGTGCTGTTTTTGTTGGGATTACTTCAAATGTAAGCCATTACGCTTTTGAAAAGGCAAAATTTAATTTGGCTTGGAGGCAGGCGTTTTCTGTAAATGCAGTTCCCACGAATAATTTATATAAAGTTGTCAATGTTATAAAATTATAAACAGTTACGCATTAAATGACGTAGCTGGCACGATACAAAATGAAAGACCACATTATAAAGAGAACGTTTAATTCAATGCTACCGTCATTCATCAATGTTAAACTTTACGTACCGAAATTCAATTTCGTGGAAACTTTATTTCGTGAATCATTGAACGGCTTTAGCTAACGCTGAAAGAATGTCAAATGCGTAATAACACAGCACATCTCATATTGCAGCGAAGTAAATTTTTGAGTGTAATGACATAGATCTGGGGAATTCAGTTGAATTACGTTCATATATTTAACGATGCTGTTAGCTGAGATTATACGAGGTGCGATCGGAAAGTTTTCAGACTGTGTCAATAGAGGGCGAACCGGATGTAGTACGAGCTTCTGTCGCTAGGGGGTGCGGCCTACATTCATAGTGAATCAGTGTGCCAGCCGGCATTATCGAATTAGCATTTGTTTCTTAGTTACGGGTGTTTTGGTAGTGCATTACACCGACCCTCCTGCGATTTCGGAATATCTTCGCGCACAACGCCCGAAAATGTTACGAAGATTTGGCAGGCCATTCACGAAGATCGACGTCGTACCTTCAACGACTTGTGCGACATTGTTGGGATAGGCTATGGGACCTGTCAGCTGATTCTAAAGGAAGAACTCCACATGCGACGCATCGCAGCCAAGTTTGTGCCAAGGCTCCTGTCTGAGGACCAGAAGCAGAATCGACTTCTCGTTTGTCAGGAGCTCAAAGATCTTGCAAGAACCGACGGATGGATGAATTTAATACCTGAGGTAAGTGTACGGGTTTTTATACGCGCAGTCTGGAAACCTTTCGATCGCACCTCGTATAGCGACGAATGATAGGGCGGCTAAAGAACATTGAATTGTTAAGGATGTGGAATGGAGCGATCGAGGTCCAAATTAAGGTACGACATTTTCCTCAAGGGACTAAGAACGCAGCGAGAAACCTCAGTAAGGTTAGCCGGTCTGCGGGTCGAGATTTGAACCCGAGACCTCACGAATACTAAAGCTAATCACATGGCAGCTTCCTGCCTTCTCCTTCCGAAAGAAATAAAAATAAATAAACAAATGGAGCAAAGGTTTTATGTGACTTCGGAGATGAATTCACTGACAGTGAACTCCCCAAAGGTTATTCTTTCTCGTACATTCTGAGGTGATTCATGTGGGCTATAAAAGTCGCGGGAGCTACTACATTTACTACACTGACTAGAAACAGTGGGGGGAAACTAAATGGAATAGAGAAAATTGGTTACATCAGTAGTGTGTTTGAAGTCGTCAATTACCAAAATGCTTCGAAGCATGAAATCAGAAACAGAGTTCGGTCATCATGCCTAAGAGACTTCCTTTTTGTGAAGAACTCAAATCTTTTCTAGACGCTGTTTTTATTTCTGTTTTGCACTCATTGTCATTGATGTTAATTTGTTTATTTGATGCTGATTTGCTGTGAATTAAACCGGACAGCACTGCATGCTGCAAATGACGAAATGACGAAAGAAATGGCAGTATTCCTACCAAGGAGAAAGGTAATATTAACAAAATTTAATGTTGCTGTTTCTAGGTGCTGGGAGTTACTGAAAGGGAATTCTTTGACCAAATGGGAGTTCACTTTGTGGGCTTTGTGAGCCAATATGGTTATGATCGCGTTCTATCCGTGCTGGGACGGCACATGAGGGATTTCCTCAATGGTGGGTATGGTGCTCTGGAAATGATTGATATACCATCGTTTCAGTACATTTTGTTATAATTTTTGTTTCAGGTATTCAGACGTATTGATTATTTCATTCTTTAAATCTTGTAGAAATGATTTCTTGTTTCTCCTTGTATGAGATTTCCCCGTATTCCTTTGACTGTGGTATATTACATCACAGGAAAACAAAACGGAATCAGCTCCAAGTATAGATAAACTTAAAGAAAACGAAGTTTAAATGTTTCCTATGGCGTTGTGACACAGTGTGTGTAGTTATTCTGTTCGACCTTATCAAAGTTCTATCAGGAGGTGCAACAGAGCATTTTCATGTCACAACCAAAATATGCTCTCAGATTAATCATTCAAATGAAATCTGCAGAACTCATGTAATATAATCTGTGAATCAGTACCTTAAGAAAATCACATGTCAAATTATTATAAACTTACATGTGAATAATTTTCTTCCTAATTGTCACACATTCACATTCCATAACTGCTCAAATAAAGTTACGATTTTTGTAATGAAGTCAACAATTCTTGTATTGCGTTTTGTATTTCATTGCACTTGCACTAATATCCTTGTTTTTTTTCTGTTAGGATTGGACAACCTACACGAATACCTCAAATTTTCATATCCCCGCATGCGAGCACCATCTTTCATCTGTGAAAATGAAACGCGTGAAGGTCTTACACTTCATTATAGGAGTAAACGACGAGGCTTTGTTTACTATACCATGGGCCAAATAAGAGAGGTAACAAGATGCGAGTCTGATATTTAAGATTATTTGTGAACTGTGTTTTGGCAGTCTTTGTTTTTGAGGTTATGGTATTAAATAAGTCATCTAGGCCTGCACTTGTATGGACTTTTCATCACAGTGCATCATATCATTCTCCACTAGGCTTGCGATACAATTTAATATCAGCATTTTCTGGAAATGTCAAAGAGTTTTTATTACGTAGGAATAAGAAATTACACCCCTAGCATTTTCATGTTTTGAAGATGCTTTTTATAACACTATGACAATTACATATGCTGTCAGTTAAGGTAACATGTTTTTTTCAGATCTGTTTACTTAATTCTTATATATATGATTACATTACATATAGTGCAATTTCTGAAAATGCTGGTGTTCAGGTTGAATTATGTCCTGCAAAAATGAGACAGCTAATTCTTGCTAAAAACTACAGTACAATTGCTCCATTTTCACTAACAGTGTAACATGCCATTCTTTGACTGATACATTGAGAAGCTTTTTTCATATATGAAAAATGCAAACTAATTTTTGGCCAAAACTTAATGCACACTGTTTCTTACTAGACCCTTCAGTTGTTGTGCACATGTAAATGTTTCTTTTTTGAGGTAATTTTCTAAAGAGACAGATTTTAGGTTTGGCGTAGTTATAATCGCTTATTAAACATTTTATTAAAGTGACTGAATGGCATTCCTTTGAATAGGGGGTCACAGCAGGAGGGTTAAATGTCGCGGTCCCGATCGAACTCATGTACTATTGGGTCGCGAATCCTGCTAACCACCAATGCACACCATGCTGAATGGTGTGTACTGGATACAGAAAAAAAAATTCCTTTGAATTAATTATCCATGCAATGTACATTAATTAATAACAAGTTGTTCTATGTCTGACAATGTACCAAATATTTGTGATATTCATATTTTGGTTTGACTGAGTTGGCAGACACAACTAGCAGGAAATTACTAACATCATATTGGCTGTTGTGCACATCCATTTGAAAATAAATCTTCGGGTAGTTAATTTGTTTGAACAAACATCTTTAATATGATATGTTTTCTGAACTCAGGTAGCAAGACATTTCTACCATAAGGAGATGCTAATTGAGCTGGTGAGAGAGGAGCTGTTGTTTGACACCGTTCATGTTACCTTCCAGCTGACATTTGACAACCGAGCATTCACATTAGCGTCGCTTACCATGACTCGAGAAGAGAAACATTTGCCCATTAGTGCTTCTATGTTGTTTGAGATATTTCCATTCAGCGTTGTGTTTGGGTGAGCATAACAATTTTCAAGTGGCGTCTTGTGAAACTTGGGTCTTTTGAATAGCTGAATGACTCAGTGACTCAAAAAGGACTGTGCTCCATGGAATTGGTTAGTTATCCATAATTATAATCATATTGGTCTGCTGATATGGTACCAGTTTAATGCAAAACCCAAATTGTTTACAATATTTTTGAGGTCTTATCCAGAATTTGTTATGATGAAATACATTTTTAAATAATGCTTCAGAAATATTTTATTTTTTATTTTATTTTATTTTTTTCTATGGCTCTCTGGTCTGTATTCTGTCCATGGTCTCCTCAGTTCTCCTCTTCCATTCGGTCCTCTGTTAGGTCCGTCTATCCGAGGCTATGATCGAGGTTTCGAGACATCTTCCTTTTTACGGTGCAAGGTGCCTTGCGACCAACCCCCAACCTGGAGGACCAGGGTACTTGTCTTAGGCTGACCTCTCCCCCTCGACCTATATGAAGTGCAGTACTTTTGTATGATACTGTATTACTACAAATTTATGTTTAGGAATTTAAATATTTTGAAAACAGAACAGTTAATTCTATGAATGCCATTTTCTTTATAGTGGTGTACTGAACCTGAAGGATTTTGACTTTAATAAAGCATAATGCAGTGTATTTTATTGAATTGGTAACAAAAGAATAAATGAACAATCAGTGTTATTTAAATCATACTTAATCACTTGTTTCAGATCTGATATGGTGGTACGCAGTATAGGAAATTCACTCATGGTAATATTACCTGATCTCATTGGGAAGAAAATCACGAATTGGTTTGATCTTGTACGTCCACTGATTGCTTTCAAGTTTCAGTCGGTAAGAAAATGTTATTGGGTTATGCATTAATTGAGAAAATAATATCATAAAATTGTGTAAAGGTTTTTTATTATAACTTTATTAAAATAAGATAAGTCCAGTTGTTTTAAAATCTGTTTATCTGCCCACATTTGACTGCCAGAAGCATTAATTTGTCAGTGATATAAATACTTTCATCTTACTTTTGGATGTGCATTCAAGTGTTCTTTATGTATGGTGCAGGAAGTGAATGTAGGAAGTGCTTGCTTGATATATGCAATATGCAAGCTTTTATTTCTGTATTTCAACCTATTATAAAATTGACTTAAATATATGTTTTATTACTGTTGTGTAAATGAGTGAGTTTTTTTTATGTATGTGAGTTGTGCAGTGGAGGGAAATGGTACAGTCTGCTATTGGGCCTACTATTATTAGCTGAAAGTTGATGTAAAGTCCACGTCAATAAAAGAGTTTTAAATTAGGAAAGTTTACTTTACTATTTGGTTTTCTTGATCCAGATTCTGTATCGAACCAACAACATCTTTGAGCTGGTGACAGTTGAACCTGTTCTAACTGAACGTCCTTCTGACCGAAAGAGGGACATTGTCCTTCTTAGTGATGAGTCTGATAGTCTACCAGACGACAAGAAGCTCAGGCTTAAAGGTATAACACACAAATGTGAACAGGTGAAATTTCAGGAGTCTTTCAACAAAGTAATCATAGAATACATAGTTATATTGTATTTTTCTACATATTCATCTTATGCTTTTCAGTGTATTGAGTGCAGTGGCCCAAAGGTATCCTTGATTCCATCAGAATAAAATATTTTTGGTTGGGTATTAAGCCATTCTTGCACCACTTCTTTACATTACCATGCTTACTCAGAATCCATTTCACACATGCATGATCTAGTGGTTAAATTTGAGATTTGTTATCAAAACTCAACCAGGCTACTGTTTTGAAAACTGTAAGTGAAAATAAAAAGTTTTATTAGTATGATGACAACCAGTCAACCAAAGACAGAAGAAAAGCCAACACTTGAAACATCTCTTCTTCTTCCTAAGATGTTTCCACTTCATGTGGACTGCCTGATAAACATGTCTCTCCATCTCTCTCTGTCTTCCCACATTCTTCCTTCTTTCTGTGTGACATGTTTCCTAACATGTTTCCATCTCAATCTTAGTCTTCTTTTTTTTGTGAATTTTACTTTTGCTTTCATGTTTAAAACATTCTGTCTTCATTTATGCCCACATCCTATTATGATAGTGCCTCAATTATTTAGAGAATCATAAGATCTTTTCTTGTCATCAGGACAAATGATATACATGGACAACTGGAGGATGATGATGTATTTAGGAACTCCTGTAATGCCAGACCTCAATTCACTTATCACCACAGGTCTATACATCAATGATCTCTCCATGCATGATTTCAGCAGGTAAGTGGTAGTTTCTTTGTATTAAGATGCCTTTTTGACTTCAAAATCTGATATCTCAAAAAATAGTATATTAGTTATTATAGTATATTAGTGCTGCCTCCATCATCAGAGCGATGGTGGAGGCAGCAAGGACCTCTGAAATGTCGGTAAACTTCAACGAGACTACATAGTGCAACAACCCAGAAGACAGCCATCGTCAGGACAGAAGGGGTTAATATTTTGCAAATTGACAGAACTATAAAATTATAATTTTACCTCTGTTTCATATTGTTGTGAAATTTGGTCTCTCACATTCAGGGAAGAACATAGATTTAGACTTTTTGGTAACAGGATGCTGAGGAGCAGGTTAAAATATTTGCTACATTTCATTTCAATATAAAACAAGACCACACAATGAACTTAGTTTTCTTATATCTGTAACGAATAACAGGTACTTTCTGTTAATCAAGGATATAGAGCCACTGTTAGTTTTCTTGGGCATGTAGCGCGCACGGATGAGACAAGAGGTGTGCACCGGGTATTGGTTGGGAAGCCTGAGGGGAAGAGACCACTGGGGAGACCTAGACGTAGATGGGAGGATAATGTCAGGTGGGATCTATGGGAGATAGGAGTTGAAGGAGACTTAATTTTGTTCACCCAGGACAAGGTCCGGTGGAGGGCTTTGGTTAATTCGGTGATGGACCTTTGGGTTCGGTAAGCCGTCTAGTTAGTTAGTTAGTTTTCTTACTGAGTTATTAATGTTACAGAACAGTATGTGGCATGTGTTCAGAGAGATGAAGGAAATGTCAATTGGAGTCCCCTAAGCCTTTCCCATAAATGTATCTGTATCATAAAAATTCTTATTGGTAGGGATCTGATGTTGGCTGGAACCCAGCAGTCAGTGGAACTGAAACTAGCTTTGGATCAAGAACAGCAGAAATCAAAGAAGTTGGAAGAGTCAATGAGGAAACTTGATGAGGAAATGCGGCGAACTGATGAGTTACTGTATCAGATGATCCCAAAACAGGTGGCAGACCGACTTCGCACTGGCGAAAACCCCATTGATACATGTGAGGTATGAATAAGAATTAATTGTAGCAGTTACAGCACTACATACCATAGGTTTTCTGTAAGTTCTGAAATATGTTGCAGTTGTGTGGATTTAATTGTTTTGAGACTGAAATATCCATGATATTCTACAATATAATGCTGTTTTTTCATTTCAGTAGTTCGATGTTTTGCTCTTTTTCTTCTGGAATTATGAAGCTGTGATTGACTTATTTATTTATTTATTTATTTCGTATCCAAATACACACCATTCAAAGTAGAAATCATTAAATAGAGTAATATTAATAACATAGAAATAAAGAAAGGAGGTTGGGGAAAATTTAGTATAGAATAAATATAAAAGTAAATTTACAACGTATATACAAAACTAGATTGGCTTATAAACAATCTTAATAAAACTATTGTAATTTAGAGGTAATTACTTCTGAAGTCAGAGAAAAATATTGAATTACTGAGAGGTATTTTACTGACACTCAAAGGAAATATGATGTAACTCTGATGAATATAGATTTATATTGTCCAAACATAAAATGTGCTTATTGAGAGGATTAGGCTAGAGGGTGTTTGAGAATGTTATATATTTGTTGCAGTAGTACCTATTAATAATTTTTAAAACAAAATGCATATTGACAGTGACTATATGGCAACCTTTGTTTCTATTGTGGCAGATGTTTGACAGTGTATCTATCCTGTTCTCTGATGTGGTGACATTCACAGAAATATGCAGCCGTATCACACCTATGGAAGTTGTCTCAATGCTCAATGCGATGTATTCCATATTTGACACGCTTACTGAACGAAATGGTGTCTACAAGGTATGCCATAATTTATTTCTGTCTTACTGATTATTTATAACCCGTTAAAGATTTAATTAGAGACTGGTAACGATATTGAAGTTACTTGTAACAAATCATAAAGAAAACTAGTCATAATGTTTTCAAAGTTTTATTTTTTGCCATTTATTCTGAAGAAGATTTTACAGTACACCATATGTAAGTCCAATTCATATACTTATATTCCTGAAGATCAATTTAGTATTTGAACAGGGTAGTGTTATTTAAAACAGTACATATAAATTGTACACACAACACAGAATTCTCTTCTCAGTACTGACTATAAGTTACATCTGAAACACATTTTTATTTGCAGATTATTTATAAAAAAGTATACTTATGGACAGTTTTCAATCAGTAGAGTCATGTACTACCAAATTTACACATCAAACTGGATCAACTTCTTTATTTTCTTGGCATAACTCCAATTTGAGTTAGTTGAAAACATTAAATTGAATACATTGGTCACAATAGAGGGATATAAAAGGTAAATTTCACATATTCTTTTCAGTTACTACACACCATTGACAAAGGGATACTGATTTAGAAGAAGACACTTTGAAGGAATTAATACATTTATTTTTATAATTCATGTCTCAGATGTTTTTTTTAATTCAGTAACTTCTGGATCATTTAGTTTGTTGTATGTGATAGTATAATGACAGAAAATTTATAAAATTTGCACCAGTTTTCATTTTGGTAAATTCTTGTTGTAATATAAAGTTTCTAACATTTTCTGAAACAATTTTCTGCACTACATACAATTTATTGGTTCACACCATGCTCAAAATATGGGTAACAATATAAGAAGAATGCTTTTTGTGTGTCAAAAGTTAATTTTAAATGAAATAATTTGTGATAAAAGGACATTGTCTACACCAGTAGCATAGTCTGTTTGTGAATATGTGTAATAAGTTGTTGTTATTTAAAAAGAGAACAATTTTGAAATCCTGAATATGTTTTTGGCACATTGTATACATATCACAATTTCATTATTCCCAGCTTCTGCACGCCTGCTATTACTTTTTTGTGTTAAATTTATTTTCTGTCATATGTTTCTGTATTCACTGGAATTATTTAACTCTTATTTCTTTATTGATACTGTAGAGTGATCATTGACTGCACTATGATTGATAACTCTTCAAATTTCTAAAGGCCAAACTGTAGCTTGGTTATATATAAATGTTTAATACTAAGTTTCTTTTGGATACACTACTCTAAGATTCAGTAATGTAATTATATTATTTTAATTTGCATTCCCAGATTAGTAACAGTTTTTTTCCTTTCTTTTTCTCCTTTTTCTCTCTTCTTTCTGTACTTGTATGTTGTCCTTACTTTCATCTTCCTGACTCTCCTGATGGCACATTAGGCATTCGCGCATCGTAGGCCTCAACAGGGTATTTTATGTCGCCGCCAGGTGGAGACAATAGGTGATGCATACATGGTAGTATCAGGTGCACCAGAAAAGGAAATCAGTCATGCTGAGAAGGTGTGTGACATGGCCCTTGATATGGTGGAAGCCATCACTGATCTAAAGGATCCTTCTACAGGTAGTATCAAATTCCAGTAAAACTAATATGTAGCTTACGGTTCTCTCACAATTGCAGAGTAGTTTTACATGTATATATTATTCAAGAAAGATATCTTGTAAGGTAAGTATATTAACTATGTTAATGAGGAAAGCAGTAGATCTGAAAATAAGTGATATTAAAATTAAAGTTGAGAATGGAAATGCATACCTGAAAAAAAGGTAGGTGCTGGTGACATTGGATTAAGTTTTCTTGCTTGACCACACAATTTAATTCATCACACTGTACTTTTGAAGAGATAAAACATAAGGGATATGGGTTTTAAATGCCTATACAACTGAGCTGTCAGCCGCACTTTGTACAGGTTAATGGTTTAGTGATATGCTGCTTTAACCACATTTTTAGCTGGACTGTACATAAGCCGTGATGCATAGCTGATAAGGGTTTAGGCTTCGTGTGTTGTACCCTATATGCCCCTTCATAATTCTATGATGGACGTCACGATGTGCGTTACAACGGACATACTTTGTACGGTCGTGTGGCCCCAGCCTTAGATGGTAATCTAAGACATCTCATTGGAAATAATCAAAGATGTATATGTCAAACCATCTAAATGTAAATCTTTGGAATTAATTGCACCTTAAATATTTCAGCTGAGTATACAAAAAGGTCTGAGTTTAGATATCTGAATGATAAATCAGGATGGTGTGGATGACAATGGTAGGTTTTTCCTTATTATAAAGTTATTGGAATCATATTATGGTCTGATTAGTGTCTTCCTCTATAGGTTCTCATCTGCAGATCCGAGTGGGTGTGCATTCTGGTGCAGTAGTAGCTGGCATAGTAGGACTCAAGATGCCTCGTTATTGTCTGTTTGGCGATTCTGTCAATACAGCCTCACGCATGGAGTCGACAAGTGAGGCAATGAAGATTCATATCTCTCAGTCAACCCGTGATTTGCTGTCTCCAATATACATGGTCACTGAACGTGGAGAGATTCAAGTTAAAGGGAAAGGTATGTAAAAAAAAGCATAATGAGGAGGTGTAATGGTAATAAAAGCAAGATGAAAGGTAGATATGACCAAAATCTGACAAGCAATTATAATAAACGTTTTCTTAAAATCCTTTTAAACACTCTTTTGTTTTGTTGATGGTAGTTGTAAATATTGTATTTTTGTTTTATTTATTTATAAATAGATGCTCCATAAAATTACCTATTTTTATGTCAGTGGTACATACCCTTGTTACAGCTTTTCACTTTATAACTGGTTCTTCATTTCTAATTCCCATTCCACCCTGTCTTTCTGATCATATCATTGCCATATAATATTTTTTTCCATCTTCCTTGATCATCTGTAGCAGCCACTCACCTTGTTTACCTTTGAACCACAGCCACAGATAAAAACTTAATCTAAATATTATTTTAATTAGCACTGGATTCAAATGGTTAGTAGAGAATAAAGTTTTAATGTAAATTTACTGAGACACAGTGTTGCGTATCTGTGAAAATATCCATCCATATACAGATTATTTAAATATTTATTTACAGAAGCATTTCAAAACTGTAACGTAAAATGTATCTCATGATATACTTGTAACTATTTAATTTCAGGTAGTATGAAGACATACTGGCTTGATCGCCGTGAATTTCGTATGCCACTAGCTCGGCGACCATCATCTGTCGGTACAAAATCAGAATATGAAAAACCTGAAAA